CTTTTAAAGAACCATATTATGTTATTTTCTGATTTGTTATCTTTCCTCGTCAAACATACCTGGAGTTGTTTCATTCACACATGTTTAACACACAAACCCTGAATATTTAGGCTGAGTTCTTTAAGGGCCTGTTTACACGAGAACGCTTGCGGGTAAAAATGGTAAAATATTTTATCGGAAGTGCCTTTTTGTTTAGACGGTGACGCCAGTTTTTGGGGTTTAAAAATGCAAAAATCTTAAACCACCCTCCAGGGAGGAAAAGTTGAACACGTTCCGCTGTAGCGTTTCCGTCTACACTGCCCAAGATGCCAAACTCTGGTCAGATCCGCTCAGGTCATGTACATGTACACGTTTACGTCTCATACATCACCATCTGCACACATGCATACCCAGTCAAATTCCACACACTTTTGCGTCACCATATGCACGCAGATTTCCTCACGAAAACACTTGTCTAAACGCGGAATAAAAAGTGAAGATGCAACGCCACTTTTGTGTCTTCTGTTCAGACCGTCAAATACCGTATTTTCCGGGCTATTAGTCGCGCTCTTAAGCCTCTAACCCCATCAAAAAACGACCGTGTGCCACAATCCAGAGCGTCCCATACATGAATCCACTCAGGTGTCCCAACACGACTTCAGTAAACTACAAATCCGCAGAACACGCAAACTGTTTTTGATGAGGTAACAACAATCACTAAAAGCTCAGTCAATTTTGTGTAATGTAGGATTTTAAAACCATGTTAAATCATTATAAATTGGACTACCTGCGGTCATTAAGGTTAGAAGTTTAGTTTGCAACGAATACTTTTCTATCTTTGTGTAATGTTAGATTCTTAGGTGAGCCTCCCGCCACTATGCCTGTCTGCAGTGGCTGAGCATGTTCCAGTGGAGGCTCAGAGAAACTCAGCTTTAGGAAACAGGGCCGTTCACACCAATGGACCGCTCTGTGCCGAAAAGACTGGGACAACTCAAACTATCATCTCAAAGTGATAAAAGCACTTCATGTCACTTCTGTCCACGTGCACCGTCACAACACGATCTAGATTACAAAAATGTCTGTTGGAGTTAGAAAATGTAGAGAAACTTAATATGAACCCTTCAAAAACTCAGCCGATGGATTATAAATACAAAATACTCTGCATGATCAAGTGCAATTTTCTTCTGAAATTCTTAAATTGTAGTGCTTTAAGTCTAGATTTTGCAATATCTGAAATTTAACAGTACTGTAATTTCCTCCTCAAATAAAAATATCCTCATCCAGTTTTATTCTGCATAAAAACAGCTAAACCTTTTGGCTTTCGGTTTGTTCATTTCTCTCGTCTGTTCTCCTGGATACGTTTTTTAAAATGAGCTTTGAACAAAATGATTAAATTAAAAAAGAAATTTAATAAACAAAATGCGTCTTAAGAAAAATGGAAAAATTCTAAATTCTTCAGTCTTTTTTTGCATCTCTTTAGCGTTAAAATGTCAAATTAAGGAATCAAAATGAAAGGATCTGAATTAAAGAAACCTGTTGTGTTTATTTTCTAGATTGAGGTGGTGCCTTCTGCTTCGGCCCTGATCATCAAGGCCCTGAAGGAGCCTCCTCGTGACAGGAAGAAGGTCAAGAACAGTGAGTGTCAAACCTTTAAACCAATTCTGATTTTATTTGTATTTAATTTTTGACTGAAACTGAACCCAAAACTTTCCTTCAGTCAAGCACAGCGGGAGTGTGACCTTCGACGAGATCGTGGGAATCGCTCGCGTCATGAGGCATCGCTCCATCGCCAGAGAGCTGTCCGGTAAATACACAACTGCACCAAAACACAGAAGCAGTCCAGTCCAATGAGTCCTTTAGTTTAAAAATCAGGGCACTATCGATTAGACGAGACAAAATTGCCACGAGATTGTGCACACATGAGGAAAATTACCTTGTGAAGTTGTTTTTTTACATTTGGATTGGAAAACAAAATTAAGTACTGGTGTGTAAAATTTTTTGAAAAGCTGTAGTCTCAAAACAGAAGAGCTACAATGACAGAAATATTAAAGTAAATCAAATGTGGTGAGGCCAAAATTTAACAGGATTGTACAATTAATGTCAAAACCTCATCTTTTCTCAATCTCAAAGTTCCAATTTTCTGTCTCGTCTCATTTTGTGGAAATTGTATCTCGTCATACCCCATCACTTCAGAAAAGGGATGAGAAGAGCTGAAACTATTGTTTATTCGGACAGTAATGCATAGAAAATGTAAATACATAGATATAATTTGAAAAAAATGTCTATAATAAACAAAAATGTCACACAGATTTTACTTGTGTCCAAAAAAGGAGTGGGAGCAAGTAAATATTTATAAAAAAAAATATTTAACCCCACTTTTTTTCCTCCTGTCCCAAATAAAGAGCATAAAGACTTCTCATTTCCTGTATAATATAAACTGTACAATATAAACTAGAGCTGCATGTGTGCTTTTAAAACTGAATTATGCAATTACATGGTCAAAAATGTAAGTAAATTATAAGTTTTGTAAGAACCTAAACTGTAAACTAACTTGTAAACCTTAAACTAGTATCTTGAGGTGTCAGTGGAAAAATCATGACTCTTTTCGTTTAGAATTGAATTTTAAGTTATTTACAGCGAGCCTCCCGCCACTATGCCTGTCTGCAGTGACTGAGTATGTTCCAGTGGAGGCTCAGAGAAACTCAGCTTTAGGAAACAGGGCTGTTCACACCAATGGACCGCTCTGTGCCGAAAAGACTGGGACAACTCAAACTATCATCTCAAAGTCATAAATGAACGGAACATGTAGTGCTGTTGTCCATATTTACAATCACGACACAATAACCTCGCTTATTACTATTAGAAAATATCTCTGTGGGGAGCTAGAAAATGTAGAAAAGTGGTTACTCCATGGGCTTTGTAAAGGGTCCATATTACCCTTTTTTCTGATTTGTTTCCTCTTCACAAACAAACCTGGAGTTATGTTTTGTTTCGTTCACTTGAGAGAAGAACACTGCTTAAATCTGCAAGGTTTGGGTGTTAAACCTGTGTGAATGAAACAAAACACAACTCCAGGTCTGTTTTTTTTCAGGAGGTAACAACATTCTAACATGTCAATTTTGCATAACGTAGGAAAAAATTACACCTTAGAACAATTTCTCCACTTACATCGTCTTATCTCATCAGCTTTGTGTTACAGTAGAGGAGACATTTTTCTCAGATGTTGACTCTCATGTCCATTTGATTTTCAGGAACCGTGAAGGAGATCCTGGGCACGGCTCAGTCCGTCGGCTGCACCATCGACGGGCGCCCACCTCACGATGTCATCGACGACATCAACAGCGGCAAAGTCGAGTGTCCGGCCGAGTAAACACATGAGACAATAAAACACTTTGTATAAAATCAACTTGTGTTTGGGTCAGTCTTTCTGTATGACGCTCTGTATCGACTAGAACAGGAGTTGAATGAAGCTAAAAGGTGCATTGTGTAACTTTTCCATGGAAATGTTACGTGTGCGTGACCTAGTGTCTCTGCTCAATTTTATTTCTCTCCAGCAACTAGGTCAGGAATCAGAACACACTAGACCAGACATGTCCAAACTTTGGCCTGGGGCTAAATGCGGCCCTCAGACAAATTTTTCTTGGTCCTCAGGCTTCCAGGTGAATTGGTCCAAATGACCTTGCATCAATTATTTTTTTTACTGCAAGTTTTTTGAGAATCTACCTTGATAAAGCTTATATTTCATATTTAGTGTGTGGTTTTAAGGATTTTAGCATGAATAAAGACAGATGGTTCATACTAACATGTTAAACATGCACATATTTTAATTATTCACTGTATTGAGCGTCAGTCTACGGCCCTCTGCTTCATCTGTGTTTAGATATGTGGCCCTTGATGAAAAAAGTTTGGACACCCCTGGACTAGACGGTTGGCAAAAACCCCGGAAGTGCGAGTTCGGGCACCAGCCAATCAGCGAAGAGCCAGACATTCTGTGTTGGCAATGATTCCCGAGATCGAGGATATAAAGTCTTTAAACAAAGAAAATGTTTGAATTTTATCAAGAGGAAAGACGTTATTGTCCTTCTTCCTACGGGATTTGGGAAACTCTTAATATACCAATTAGCCCCGTTAGCAGAGGCCGACCAAATAGCAGCGATTGGTTAAATGATAAAAAGTGCCTGCCTACTGTTGAGCGAACAAATCCTAATACTGTGAGGTCAGACAGTTTCTACAAAGTGAAACTGGCTGATGAATCAGGCTAGAACACACAGATGTTCATGGCTAACTCTGGTTTACAGTGGGAGTTTTCTCACTTTGCAGCACAGGCTAAGAAACATGGATTTGCATCGGGAGCTCCTGAGGAAATACCGTCCATTTGTCTGAGCTCACGTCTCAGAAACGAGAAAGAAAACTTACAGCATTGAAAATGGAAATCTGGACGACTTCCCAGTAAGAATATCCATGTTTTATACAGAGGTGGATCCCAGGCAAAGCTCAACTTAAAATACTCACGGTATGAAATGGATCTTGTTGATCAGGGGAACTCAAACTCAAATTCACAGAGGCCAAGATTAAAAACTGGGACTAAGTCGTGGGCCAAACTCAATATTTATTGACTGAGCTCACATCTCAGAAACGAGAATTAAAATGCACTCATAGCTTTGAATTTGCTCTTTCCAAATCTGGAAGACTTCCCAGTCAGAATATCAGTACAGAGGTGGACCCCAGGCAAACCTCGACCTAAAATACACTCAGTATGAAATGGATCCTGTAGTTGAGGTGGTCCCTTAATCTTGCCAATGATCTTTTTCCTCTAATTAAATCATTTTTAAAACCACATTTTTGGTGTGTGTGTAAAATCCCTCAGTCATCCAGGCAGAATCCACGGCAGTTTCAACCAAAATAAACTTTTATTGTCCAGTTGACAAATTTAATTTCTGCTTTTGCCACAGTTTTTGGGAGTTTTGGATTCTGAAAATGCTTGAAATGCAGTAGAACATTTTACACATAAAAGTTTGAAATACAAAGTTTATTTTATTTTTATTTTATTTTTTTACAAATGTATAAATATCAACATGAAACAGAACTAGAACAGTTTGAGTCAGTTTAACTTTCCTTTCACTTTAAATGAACCGAAATGTGCTTGAGTCCTGAAACTTACTAAATGTTGAAATCGATTAAAAGAGAAACCTTTACAAAAAATGTATAATTAGATTTTAGCCTGAATTTTATTGTGCTTTTTAGGCTCTTTATAAATCACACTCAGACATGAATCCGTGTATCATTCATTTTCCAAAAATAAGAAAATGAAAAAACAACAATTTTCTTCATTATTTGTCTCCAAAACCAAAAAAAAACTGATAATTTGTTTTTTTTTTTCAGTTTTCGATTTTGTGTTTAAATGAACAATGAAACAGCCGCTTTCCGTTTATGTGACTTAAACCAAGACTAAACCAGGACTGAAACAGGACTAAACTAAGTCTGAGATTGGGACAAGGACTGAGATTGCGACCAGACCAGGACAGAGACCAGGACTGAGGCCAATTTTGTCCTGGTTTAGTCCTGGTTCGCAGTTTAAGTCACGTAAACGGGAAACATCGTCATCTGTTTTTTCATTATTAATTTAAACAGAAAAAATCGAAAACTAAAACCACGAATCATTATACGTTTTTTTTTTTTTCATTTTGGTTTTGGAGACAAATAATGAAGAAAAGAGTTGTTTTTTTCATTTTCTTATTTTTGGTTTTATTTTGAAAAACGAACAAACGAATGATACATGGATTGACATGTATCAATTATTTATTATCATTTTGCCTGTTCTTTTCTGTTTTATTTTAAAGGTGCACTGCGTATCTTTTCAGGTTTGGGGTCCGCTTCGGTTGAGATGCTTTTCCTTTACCTGTAATGTTCCACAATATGGCATTAACACTTGTATAAAGACGCATTTAATCAATTACGAGTGTTTTTATTGCTCAAAAATACCTTCAAAAACCTGCATTCTCCATGGAGACGAGTAACTGGAGGGTCCCGTCTACCAGAAAAGTTACACAGTGCGGCTTTAACGGAAGCGTTTATCAAAATGTGAAGTTGATTCTCGGCTCAGAAACACAGAACTTTTAGGAAGACGTGGAAATTTCCAGTATAAAAAGTCCATTTCGCTGCAAAAAGATCGAAATTGGTTAGAAAATTACTCGCAAACTAAAGGTGCACTACGTAACTTTTCTATCTGAAGAGTCTGCCGTCTTTTTGTCTGCATGGAGATGTCGTTGCTTTTCCTGGCACGGCCCACAGTACGGCATTAAACTTGATCTATTTACGGACAAAACTGAGTGACACCAGCAGGCCGAGAAATGAAGAAATGTTCCACAGTATGGCATTAAACCCATTTATCTCATATTTATTCAATCATAGAGGTTTTTAAAATCTCAAAACAAATCCAAAACATGTAATAATTCTCGCTCTTGGCAGCGTCGCCGCTCCGCAAATCGGACCTGTAACTCGGCTCGACGTTGTTATTTTCTTTTCACCAGAGATCGGTCTAATGCCTTACTGTGGAACATTCCAGTCAAAGCAATTGCATTTCCATGACGACGAGCAGGTGGCAGACTCTCTAACGTAAAAGATACACAGTGCACCTTTAAATGATCTAAGAAACTAGATAAAAAATTATACAAACTAAGATTTCTACTGTGAAATCAAGTCCTTTAAACCCATGTTGGTTTTTTTGAGTGTTTGCAGTGGTTTGGTTCGGTTTGGTCCAGTTCAGTTCAGTTCTCGGCTTCGTCCTCCTCTGCGTCTGCTGCGTCCGGTGCATCTGGTACGTCTGGCTCTTCCTCCATCCTCTCCTCTTCCTCCTCCTCTTCTCGGCTCTTGTCGTTTTCAGAGTCCTGTTTCTTTTCTTTGTCCTTTCGTTTCTGCTCGGACACCTCCTTCTTCCCCTTCTGGCCTTTTTTATACACTGATGGAAAACGGAAAAGCAACATTAGATCTTCAAGATATTGTGCCTGCTCAAATCACAAGTATTTTCAGATGTTTTTTACGCCTCGTAAGATTTATTTTCTTTTGTTTGCTGTCTAAAGCAGACTTGGAGAGACTTATCCATGCGTTTGTCTTCAGTAGGTTAGATTACTGTGATGGTCTGTCAGTGTTGGGAAGGTGACTTTTAAAATGTATTCCCCTACAGATTACAGATTACACACATCAAAAAGTGGTTTGTAACGTAATCCATTCAATTACTTAAAGTGAGTAACGTAATCTGAATACTTTGGATTACTTGATTTGCTGTAGAGAAGCAAAGACGAGGAAATCTTCACGAGATGTTTTGTCTGTTAAAAGAAAATAAATAACCCAGACTTTACTGAACCAGATTAAAAATATTATTGATAGAAGACGAGGAAAAACGTCCACGCAGCATGGTTAGTCCCGGCGTTAGTCCCGGCGTTAGTGCCGGTTAGTGCGGTGTTAGTCCCGGCGTTAGTCCCGGCGTTAGTCCCGGTGTTAGTCCGGTGTTAGTCCGGTGTTAGTGCCGGTGTTAGTGCCGGTGTTAGTGCCGGTGTTAGTCCCGGCGGTTAGTCCCGGTGTTAGTGCGGTGTTAGTCCGGCGTTAGTCCGGTTTAGTCCGGTTTAGTCCCGGCGTTAGTCCCGGCGTTAGTCCCGGCGTTAGTGTCCGCCAATGAGTGGAATTACCGAAAAAAGGGATATCGCCCAAAATGTGAAAACAGGGAAATACTACCCTGTAATCCATTTATTTCAACAAAGTAACTGTAATTCAATTACCACTCACTGAAACAGTAACTGTAACCGAATACAGTTGTACTCATAATTTGTACTCTGACTACGTAACTCCGGTACATGTAATCTGTTACTCCCCAACACTGTGGTCTGCTCACTGGTCTCTCCAAACGAGCTGTGAGACGCTGCAGCTCAGGTCCCGACTCGAACCAAAAAGTACGTGAACATAAGTCCTGCGCTCAGGTCTCTGCACTGCCCCCTGTGGGTCAGAGACTCGGTTCTGTTTGTGCACAAGTCTCTCCATGGTCAAGTACCAAAGTCCATCTGTGACATGTTAGTGCCTTATGAACCATCTGCACTTTGAAGAGCTCAGGGACCGGCCTCCTGCTGGTGCCCACAGTCAGGACTAAACTAAAGATCCACAACATCGCCCGTTTCCGCCCCTCCCACTCTCAGCCCACTGCAGAAATCCTCATTCATGCCTTATCTCCTCGTTCTCGGTCTAAAAACAAAAGCTGATGGTTCAGTCCCAAATAAAATCAGTTCATAGTCATGTCCTTACATTGGTTTTACACCAGGTGAGAACAACGTGTGCTTCTAGAATACAGCAGCAGACGATATAAACACAGCGAGGAGAAGGAGGAGGCTACTGCTGCCCTCAGTCTGCCACATTATATACATATATTACATTTTTATTCAATGCCCAAATGGAAAACTGATCAGAAATCCATTAAAAAAATAACTTTGTTAGTGGCGAGGGCCAACTACTACAAAACATTGATATGAGTTGAATGACTCATTTACTGCCAATAGAATAAGTAGTTTTTGTTTTATAATTGGGATGTGCCAAGTTCTACTAACAAGTCTTGCATTTTTAAGATTTCAGGTGTTCATTTAAGATAGAATAACGACCGTTATATATAACGATAATGACGATAATGTCAGAATATTTGTTTTATTTTATTTGTTCAAATATTTAAGGTGTGTCAGAATACCACAGTTATTAATTTTATATTTTATTAGTGGAAATATTTATCTTTTAAGTTATGTGACCTTTTACCTTGCCCCGGAAGTAAACAAGAGAGAAATATAGTAGCCGTGAAAACAGAGAAAAAGACGATAGAGAGAAACAGAAAAATGTGTAAAGAAAAAGACGTCAAAATAAAAGACACACTACGTAACTACCACTGCTGATGTACAGGTGAACACTGTAAATATCGTTTTCAATTCTGCATTAATTTAAAAGTATTTATGTAAAACTAAGCTTTTTTCTGTGTCTGTCTTTATTTTAGTTTTCAAGGTGTTGATGGATTTGAAGATTACTGAGGATAAATATTGACACACATGATCATGAGTACGGAGCGTGAAGTTCTTTTTTGTGAAGAAAACTAAGGATAGGATTCTACAAACACGAATAAAATGGAACAGAAAGAATAATAAATGTGTATTATATTTCACATTTCCACACAAAAACATCAACACTGTCCATTTATTGAAGCCTTTTTTTTAAGCTAATCAAAATGACCTCAAATAACAATAATGTAATGAGTCTGATGCTTCAGTGTTACTCGATTGTGATCATGTGCGTCATTATTTCTCCACAACCACTTTTGATCTGCATGTTATTTCCAAACAAACCTTCGAGCGCTTCTTTGAGAGGCTCCAGAAATCTCTCAAACTCCATCTCCTCCATCGCGGCCATCACGTCTCCCGCGTTCAGGGTTTTCCTCTTGGCCTTCATCGCAAAGTTGTTGGCGCTACACGAAAGAAAACAAGAGATATGAGACTGAAAACGCGCTCCAGTGAGTCCGGTACAGGCTCAGATCTCGTCTCCATGGTTACCAGGACGTGGCGTAGAGCACGAAGACACTGGCCGCCTGAGAAATGGCTCTTCGAGCTTCTTTGGACACGTTCACGCCGTCAGGAAGCTGTGGGCAGGAAACAAGTTTGAAACACTGAAAAACTGCCGTCACGTTAAAGAATTTGATGATTTTCTAAGGCAGGGGGCTTTATGTTGGGTTTCAGGAAATATCACAACATTCGTTTATTATATTTAATAAAGATTGGAGGGGGGTGGCGAGTTTTTTGGAAGGTTACTAGGGCTGGGTATCATTCAGAAGTTGCCGATACGCTACATATCTCGATACAGTGAGCTTTCGATTCGATATGATTCAGTGTGATACATTTCAAATCGAATCAATAAAAAATAATGGCTAAATCATGGTTGTGATACTAAATTTTTTTGTTTGTTTTTTAGAAAGACAAAAGAATAAAACATTTAACAAAATACAATAATCAACATAAAAACAGTAGCACCCACACCAAATACAAAAAAAAAAAAAAAACTGAAAAAAAAAAGGCTTTGTTAACCCTTCCAGACCTATTTTACCCAATTTTATTACATTTTTCCTCGCATGGATTTTTCTTTTATTTTGCTATAAAAACTCCCGCTTTTACCCCCTAATGAAGTGTTATACATCCTTTTTTTCAGTACAGTCTGTTATTTCACAATCTGCTGCTGTAGTTGTGTCATGTGGCTGTAATAAAAGCTAAAAGACCAGAAATACAAATTAAAAAAGTAAACAGAAAATAAAATTTATACTTTTACATACTGAACACACAGCAAACATGTATAAACAACTTTTTGGCCATGTTTCATTAAAAATGTTTAATTTAGGGTTTTAGTTACAAAAGTGCAAAATATCAAGTCTGTAAGTAAACTAAAAATATCCATATTGCCCTCAAAACTTCGCCCCTTTACTTTATTGGTGCCAGTCATGGAAACAGCTCCGGTCTGGTCAAAGATGCATACGTTGCCATTTATTTGAGAAATAACTGCACTTAGAGTGGCTTTTTCAGTTGTTACAAACAGACGCTCAGAGCATTGACCATCTTGACTCACTTACACTCTTTGGCAAAGTTTGGCCCAATAAAAATGGATGGAGCGCATGTGTTTGGCGAAAAACAAAGTTCTTATTGGACACTTGTTTTCCCTGTGTCATCACGCAGTGTGACGTAGGATAATGCCGGAAACATGCTCGGAAAACCGAAAGTTTCAGCTATTCAAGGGGAAAAAGTAAGTTTCTATCTTTTATGGCTGGAAAGGTATGTGTGGTTATGTAAAACATGTCCGTCAATCTGGAAAAGTTAAACCACTTCTTGTGCAAAGTTAATATGAAACACAGACATTTTAATCAGTGAAAATGCCAAATGTGCTGCATAAAAAAGTTCTTTTCCTTTAAACAAGCAACAAAACTGTAGCACTGTAACAAAATAACTTAGTAAAATATACCAATTATTACTCTTGGAGATATATCAATACAGCACCCATGATATCAATACTTTATCAATACAATATTTCAATATTTTTGCACACCACTAATAGTTACGTATGCTGCTATTCAGATATGCTGCTATTTAGACTTTGACGTCTAATTGTCGGAGTAGTTATTTTTCAAGCGTCCCACTACTTACTTTTTTTTTTCATCGTCGGAGTAGTGGCACTTTACTATTTTTCCAACATTCCACTTTTCTGACATGAATAATATTAATGTGATAGCCTATTATACCATTATACCAAAATCATGTATTAGGGCCTAAATAATGGCACCACTTTTAGAAGCTTTTGTTCAAATTAACTTTTGCAATTTTGCACTTTTGCAGGTGCATTGTGTAACTTTTCTGGTGGAGGGTCCTTCAAATTTCTCTGTGCAGATGCTATTTCTTTGTCTGTAAAGTTTCATAGTATGGCATTAAACCTTTCTACCTTCATGGAGACCAAGCCAGACCATGTTACAGGTCAGATCTGTGGAGAAGTGACCCCGCTCACAGTCAGAATGCCTGTTTTTCTAGGTATTTTTGAGCTGTACTACCACCTGTAATTGAACAAATGTAAGGTAGAGCTGTTTAATGTCACACTGTGGAACATTCTAAGCAGAGCAGTAACATAGCCATAGAAAAAAGCAGGTGATGGACCCCCAACCAAAAAGTTACACAGTGAACCTTTAATTTATGTTGACTGAAAAGACATTGAACCTTGTGCAAATAACTAACCGGAGGGTCCAAACTTTTATGGAGATGTTTCAGTTTTACTTGTAAGTCTCACTGTACACTGCAATAAACTACTTATCCATCTCTACATTTAGATAAACAGATGAGCGCCAGGTCTGTGGAGAGGCGACCCCACACTCTTATCGTGGTAGTTTTGAAATTTGAGCAATAAACTGAATAATAAATGCAATACATGTAGATTTAAATGTCATGCTGTGAGAAATTCCAAACAAAGCACTAACATCCAGTGTTGGGGAGTAACAGATTACATGTACCGGAGTTATGTAATCAGAGTACAAATTATGAGTAACTGTATTCAGTTACAGTTACTGTTTCAGTGAGTGGTAATTGGATTACAGTTACTTTGTTGAAATAAATGGATTACAAGGTGGTATTTTCCTGTTTTCACATTTTGGGCTAAACCAGGCCTAAACCAGGCCTAAACCAGGTCTAAACCAGGTCTAAAACAGGACTAAAACAGGATTTAAACAGGATTTAACAGGACTGAACCATGTTGTGTGGACGTGTCTCCTCGTCTTCTATCAATAATATTTTTAATTTGGTTAAGTAAAGTCTGGGCTTTTAATTTTCTTTTAGCAGATAAAACTTATGTTACGATTTCCTCATCTTTGCTTCTCTACAGCAAATCAAGTAATCCAAAGTAATCAGATTACATTACTCACTTTAAGTAATTTAATGGATTCCATTACAAACTACATTTTGGGATATGTAATCTGTAGGGGAATACATTTTAAAAGTAACCTTCCCAACACTGATCATTAACCAGTGACCTGGCCTAAACCTTTAAAATGAAATTATAATGTGGAACAAAACGGTTTGTAATGAATTAATTTTCACCTTACCACGTGCAAACTGGAGCAGACATTTGAGTTTGTTTATATTTGTTTATATTTATACTCACAGCTTCTTTAATAATCCGGGTTATTACGGCGTTGGGCAGGTTTAAGTCTTCTGGTCTCTCCGCCATACTCACACCGGTAAATGTTCACGTTCAGGCCGGGGACAGAGACACCAGGAGCGGGGACAGAGACACCAGGAGCGGGGACAGAGACACCAGGAGCGGGGATAGAGTCTGCCGGGTTCCGCCGCCAGCAGAAAAAACCACCACGGGTCCGCGTTAGCCGCTTTAGCTCAACGCAACAGGCTGCAACAAACCGACCTCAGCGCGTCGATTTTAACTCAAATAAAAGTGCAAATGGTCGTGAATCGTGCTCGTGTTCCTCGGTTGCGTCGGTGTGAACGAGCGGAAGGTTAAAAAACGGTCTCGGTTTGTGCAGGAAAAGACGGACTTCTGTTTTCACGGATTTCCCGCGAAGCTTCCAACCACGAGCTTTCAACTTTCAACTTCCGCTTGTAATATCGAGAATGTGACGCACTTCCGCCAACACAACTTCTGTATTATTTTTTTTTTTTTTAAGATTATGAGTTATTATATTATACTGTAAAAAAAAAAAAAAAAAAATATTTTAATAAATCCATGCTTCCAACCACGAGCCTTCAACTTTCAACTTCCGCTTTTGATATCGAGAATGTGACCCACTTCCGCTAACACAACGTTCTGTATTATTTATTTATTTAAATTGTTTTTTTTTTTTTATTATGAGTTATTATATTATATTGTAAGCTATAGCTTTATTTTAATAAAACCATGCTTCCAACCACGAACCTTCAACTTCCGCTTTTGATGCAAAGAATGTGACGCACTTCCGCCAAAAGAACTTCGGTTTTATTTATTTATTTATTTATTTGTTTTATTTATATCATTAGTTACTATATTATCTTGTAAACAAACATATATTTGCGTTTTGTATATACAAATACAAATGTATTTATTTATTTAGAACATTAGTTATTAGTATTCTGTAAACAAGCATATATTTGCATGTGTATATAAAAAAAAAATACAATTAATATAACCAAAGTATGGTAAAATATTGTATCTTTGGTATGTAATGCAGGTGGCTATAGCCTATGGGAGGTACTTGGGCTTTTTATTAATTTTTTTTAGATTATGAGTTATTATATTATACTATTAAAAAATATATTTATTTTAATAAATTCATGCTTCCAACCTCGAGCCTTCAACTTCCACTTTTGATGCCAAGAATGTGATGCACTTCCGCCAAAACAAACTTCAGTATTATTTATTTATTTATTTATTTATATTTTTTAAAATTATATCATTAGTTATTATATTATCTTGTAAACAAACATATATTTGGGTTTTGTTTATACAAAATACGAATTTTATTTTTTTTTATTTAGATAATTAGTTATTATATTATAGTGTAAACAAGCATATATTTGCATTTGTATATATTAAAAAAAAATACAAATTAATATAACCAAAGTATGTTAAAATATTGAATCTGTGGTACGTACTGCAGGTGGCTATAGCCTATGGGAGGTACTTGAGCTTCTTCTGGTGGTACTCTGGGCTCTTTGCCTTTTTAACACTTGTTTTAATTGAATCAGAAACAAAAATTATGCTCAATTAATGTGAGATTTCCCGTAAAGCTTCCAATCATGAGTGTTTCAACTGAGCAACTTTCAACGTCCGCTTCTGATGTCAAGGATGTGACGCTTTTCTACGTATTTTTGAGCTCTAAAATCATCTGTAATTGAATAAATTTAAGGTAGATCTGTGTGGGGAAGCTGGCCCGATGGGGTCAAAGTAGGAGGCAGACTAAAAATAAACTGTGTCTTTGACCAGACAAAAATTTATTTAAAATGGATTTCCGTTGTTTATGTAAAATAGCTAAATTACAAATAAACTGGTCAAACAGAAAATAAGTTCGATAAATTAAATCAAACACAAAAACGCTGTACACCCAACTGCACAGACGTCTCTTTCTCCCCAGAGGCTTTAAATATGGCCGACTTAAGGCACACCCCCGTTTTTTGTCTCCAGACCATGTGGAGCTGCAGCTAAGTATACTGAATATGGATGTAAATGAAATGAATTAATAAATAAAGTATATTTTGTTGTGTATTTACTACAACATATAAAAATATAAATAATGATTCAATAATGATTCGGAGGTAAATGAATTTGTGAATCCTCATTTTACTTTTACTTCACTGCAACATAACATATCAGTGCGCAGGCAGATAATCTATAAGTAAAACCACTAACACGGGGAGTGACTGTGCTTAAACAAATATATCCACTTAGATACTACATATTTAAATTAACCGTGTTGTGATAATAGGCTCTATTCACGCTTCAGGTGTAATTCTCTACACATGGGCTCGCCGACCGACTGTGATAAAAGCCACAGAAGTAAATGTGATCAGCTGTAAAATGAAGACTGCACATGTACAACAACAACAACAAACTTTATTTATAGAGCTCTTTTCATACAAAAAAGCAACACAAAACACACGTATGTGCTGTTTCGAATCATCTTGAATTCGGCGCCTCGTCTCTTCTAATCGCATGTACCCAGTGCACTCGGAGTTGTGTGTCAGTGGGGAAATGATGAAAACTCAGGTGTGGTTGAAATTGTTGATGAGCTGAACATAAAGGAACGCTACAATGACATGGAGATGAAGAAAACTGGGATATTTTCTAATGTTTCCTTTTGTCAGACTTACTACCATGAACTTGCCGGAAATTGTAACCACACTTTTTCCAAACGTCTTCCTGGTTTGTGACGTAAGAGTGAATAGAGCAAGGGTGGCTGGATCAAATTTTCTATTAAAATATTGGTAATTTTCTGCAGTGTTTATCATATCAGCATCTCCAGCGTCTCTGTACGTGGCCCCTCCCACCAGAGCAGCACAAATGAAGACTTGTCTCTTTCCAAACGCTCTTAAAGGACGATCGTTTTGACTGTTGACCGTGACACCCTCATCAGAAAAATGTCCAACATGAGAAAAGTGGAGCCGAATGCAGGATTTTCCAAGAAAAAATTGACTTATTTGTCTTTGCATTCAAGTTCATGTTAAAACATTGTGTTGAAATAGCATTTTTCTTAAAGTTTCAGGTTGTTCATAATTTATAATATTTTGTAAAAGAAAGAGTTCATCAATTAAAAAAGATTTCTGTAATAGATTTGCATTTCTCTGCACAAATATTTGAATTTATTGGTATTTTTGGAATTTATATGCCATAAGTTTTCTGATCCAGCCCCTTTGGGATCAGAGTAGGTTGGATACGGCCCCCGGACCAAAATGAGTTTGACACCCCTGGAAAAGAGCCTATAAAACTAGAGAACCCTGAATTATACGTCTAACTCTGGCAGGATATTGAGAAATTAACCAAATGAGTGAAATGAAACAAAATAATGTGAGTTTAAAATGGTATAAAGGCCCACATTGTCACAAGCTGTTTAATGCCATATTGTGAATATTCCAGGCGGAGCAATCACAAATCCATAGAAACAAGCAGCTGGCGAACCCCCCAACCAGAAAGTTACACAGTGCAGCTTTAACACTGATCTGATAAAACAGAGTAACAGTAATAAGAGTTACTCGGTCATAGGTTCTCTGCAGTTGTTTCCATGGCAGCAGATGTTCGTTCCACTCGCTCCAGAGAAAACTCCAAACAAAGACCAGGTTAACGCCCACCAGGTTCAAGTCACCGAGCTGATTCACTGCGTTCACAGATAGAGTTTCATTTGTTTAAAAGCTATTGACACTTTGCAGCTCGTGTCATCAATGTTCAATGAGGGGATTGAAACTAACTGAAGGCACTGCTCTGTCTCGACCTCTGTTACTCAAGTTAGACAAGATCTGTTCTCAAGCCACAGTCACAGCTCACATGAACCAGCAGTTTTTAAGTTAGTCACTCTCATTTATTTGTTGAAAATCAAACTCCCAAACAGAACCAGAACGCTTGGAATGATCACAAGCTCCTGAAAATGTGCTAATTAAATCCATTTATTTTTACTTGACTTTTCAGAAACTGGTAACATCTGCATGGGGTCACTATTGTAACTGCTGAACATTTTACAATAAACATACATGCAGAACACCCCAGCGTAATGTCACTGCAATTTATCATTTGTTCAGAACTCATTTCCAGCAGCATAAAATCTACACAAGTGGTACAAATAAGTAGCCTGATTTATCAGCTGGTTTCACTTTGTGGAAACCGTCTGACCTCACAGTGTTAGGATTCGTTTACTTCACAGTAGGCAGGTACTTTTTTTTTATTTAACCAATCGCTGCTGTTTGGTCATGATGTATGTAATGCACCAAATCCCGTAGGAAGAAAGGCAATAACGTCTTTCCCCTTGATAAAATTCACCAAACATTCTCTTTGTTCCGGCTTTAAATCCTCGATCTAAGGAATCGTTGCCAACACAGAATGTTTGTCTTCGTCTACATCCATCTCGACGCTTTGTTTACTGTTGTGCTGTTCCACAAAAGGGACCCAGACAGATGCTTGAGTCTGATGTCATGGCTTCACAGCTCTTCTCTGATTGGCTGGTGTGCGGTCTACAACTTCCAGGGTTTAGTGCAGGGGTCTCCAAACTTTTTTCATGAAGGGCCACATATCTAAAACCAGATGAAGCAGAGGGCCGATCGAGGGCTGTAGACTGGTGCTCAATACAACAGTGAATAATTGAAATATGTGCATGTTTAACACGTTAGGATGACCTTTTATTCATGCTAAAATACTTAAAATCACACAGTAAATATTAAATATTAGCTTATCAAGGTAGATTTTTTTTAAAAACTTGCGGTAGAAAGTTCATTTTTAATTGAGGCAAGGTCATTTGGGCCAATTCACCTGGAAGCCTGAGAGCCAAGAAAAAATTTGTCTGAGGGCCGCATTTGGTCATAGCTTGGAAATGCCTGGTCTAGTGTATTCTGATTCCTGACCTGGTCACTGGAGAGAAATGAAATTGAGCGGAGGCACTAGGTGGCACCAGCCTGACTAACAAATTAGGGCTGCACGATGAGAAAAGCAGATGTTATGTTTTGTATTACAAAAATAATGTAATTAAACTATTTTTGTATATTTTGGGGTAGAATGAGGTCAGTGAAATTAAAATAAAAAATGTTCTTGCTCACTTTAGTCACAGTGAGAAACAATACCAGGCCCGAACTCCTCCCAAGTCCCTAAAGAGCTGTGTCCAGGATGAGTCACAGGGGACGGGGGAGACCAGCCAAGAGACGAGCTCGGTTCCACAGTGTGTCCTATGATCTTCCTCGGACTTACTGATGGGACTCCTCTCAATGTGGAGGAGCAGTAGATCTAATCTGAGATCCTCCTGGACGACCGGGTTCCTCCTCCACCCCCCAGAGGAAATAATTTTGGACATTTAAGTATGTCTCTACAGGGCATCTAATTTAGAGCGATTAACCAGTAAATGTGTGGTTTAAAAGTGCA